CAACATAAAGACTTTGTTCGACTTTCAATCACAGGGGTGAAATGTTTTAAAAAAAATTAACAGGTTCTTTTGAATGAATTTTAATCATAAATACTGATATTTTGCCTATAGCTTTATTTTAGATCACTTTTAAGGTTACAAGTGTGAGTTTTATACCAGGTGAGCGATGCAGGCACATTGGGCCTCTTGTTTTCCCCTTGGAGTAGATTTGAAGAGAATGTATTGATTATCCACTCTTCTAGTATAAACATATTTTTTTATAATCCCTTATCGGTCAAATCAGTCTGTAGTTATGACAATACAGTAGGGCTTCGTAATTCATGCCACGTGTTGATGATGAAAAAAACAACAACACGGTCCGTCGATCGCGACTGCAAATCATTTCAATCATATAGTAGAGCTATTGTTAATGGGTAATCACAGATATAGTGTTAGCTAATTACCGCATTGTAATTTGTATTGACAAAAGTGTTGAGAAGTTTCACTAATTAACGCTGAAGCATGCAATCCTACCTGGCCTATTGTCCGGGACCAGACGATGTTGTTGAAGTTATGCCCTCCGGTTAACTTACCTGTTAATGTCGCTTAACGAGCAGTCATGACCACAGATGACCGATTTTTTGCTCACCTGGCAAATGAGCTTATGCAATGGTGCGGCACCCGTCGTCCGTCTGTCCGGCGTCAACTTCTTCTCAGTAACCAAAAGGCCTAGGATGATATTTGGCCAGTAGCATGGAATCAAGGGCTACCAAGTTTGTTCAAATAAATGACCTTGACCCACTTTCAAGGTCACAGGGGTCAAATATATCAAAATCTTCAAACAACTTCTTCTCAATAACCAAAAGGCCCAGAGTAATGATATTGGGCCTGTAGCATGCTGGGATAAAGGGCTACCAAGTTTGTTAAAATGAATGACCTTGACCAAATTTCAAGGTCACAGGGGTCAAATGTCATAAAATCTTTAAACGACTTCTTCTCAATAACCAAAAAGCCCAGGGTAATGATATTGGGCCTGTAGCATGATGGGATGAAGGGCTACTAAGTTTGTTCAAATGAATGCCCTTGACCAAATTTCAAGGTCACTGGGGTCAGATGTCTTAAAATCTTTAAACGACTTCTTCTCAATAACCAAAAAGCCCAGGGTACTGATATTGGGCCTGTAGCATGATGGGATGTAGGGCTACTAAGTTTGTTCAAATGAATGCCCTTGACCCAGTTTCAAGGTCACTGGGGTCAGATGTCTTAAAATCTTCAAACAACTTCTTCTCAATAACCAAAAGGCCCAGGGTACTGATATTGGGCCTGTAGCATGCTGGGATGAAGGACTACCAAGTTTGTTCAAATGAATGACCATGACCAACTTTCAAGGTGACAGGGGTCAAATGTCTTAAAATCTTCAAACAACTTCTTTTCAATAAACAAAAGGCCCAGGGTACTGAAATTTGGCCTGAAGCATGCTGGGATGAAGGGCTACCAAGTTTGTTCAAATGAATTACCTTGACCTACTTTCAAGGTATTTCAACCTAATGTCCTTGTTCAACATTCAAGGTTACAGGCATCATGTTTATATCTTTTAATAGGTTCTTATGAATCAAACACTGATATTCTGCCTGTAGCTGTTTCTTTTAGTCCACTTTTACGATTACAAGTGTGGGATTAATACCAGGTGAGTGATGCAGGCCCAGTGGGCCTCTTGTAATAATTTTACAGAAGGTAAAAAATTGTTTGGCCAAAATATATCGCTGAACTGTGACATGACCTGGTTTGAAGTGACGATACCCAAGCCGGCATGATGAGCCCTTCTCACTTATCGTAATTATGGTAATTTTAAAAATGGTATCTAAATATGTCTTTCACCAGGAGATATGCACCAGCTATTACAACACATTAACACTAATTAATTGGTATGTTTTTGTAAGCAAGTAAAAGTTTTATGTAAAATGTAGCTAAAATTAATTGATGAACATGCCAATATGCGCACACGTGTGTGTTATGTGTAATCAGATAATCAAAAGAACACAAACAACAAAATACACATTTTACGTAGTTTCTTCTTGGTTTATAATATCGTTTTACGTCAATGACAAAAAATTATAAGAAATATATTTAGAGATCAATTTTCGGAGCATAAACATCGTTTTCCCCCCATTTTTTTGGGGTGCGCAAAATATTCGAGTAGAAGCTTTTTCCAGATTTTCAGCCTCAAAAAGTACCTGCACAAATTACATAGGTTTTTACGGTATGTGTTGAATATGAACAGGTGTACAGATTGGTAATGTTTTATGCCGTATGTGTATTTTCCAGACAAAGAAGATGTTGCATTGTATATTGATGTTTTACATTTTAAGTATGTTTACAAGACAACTACACTTGTAGCATACATTAATGATGTTTTACACTTCGATTTGTGGAACAACTAAGCTCATATGGATGATGTCTAATTTTACACTTTTTTTTAACAAAAATTCTGTACATAAATACAAATACACATTGGATATAGTGCCCTATGTAGCTAGATCAAGCCACTCTAAAGCACTTTACAGTACATAGATATACAATTGAAACATTAATCAATACGATTTTAAGGAATTTGCAGGATCTGCCTAGCTATCAGGAGCAAACTACTTGTCCTATGCCACCTGGCTTATTTCTCGCTATGTGTTCAATATGCCTGATATGCTAGAGATGTATTGTGTTCATTTGAATTCTACAGCACACATACTGCAACACCCAACCCAGACCATTTTTATTCCACCTGGGTTGTTGGAGTTGTGTGAGAAGGAGAAGAGCACTTTCTCTGATTATTCCATGCCACCCGCCTGGAAGGCCGCAGTGTTAACCACTCGTCCAATCCGCCCATACATATACATTTGATACATCTTGAAAAAATTGTGAATGTGAATTGATGACATAGATTATTTTGAAACTGATATATGATATTTTCCCATGAATAATCATAGTAACCTTTTCTATCAGTAAAGCCATGTAATGAGATTAGAATGAACTGATCAGAAATGAGACAATACATAAAGGCTGAGGAAGATTGGCCCCATAGTGGATTAGGAAACCATGGTTATAACCAACCCAATATTTACTGATTCAATCAAGTCTAGAAAAAAATACAATATCCAATTAGAAATTTTCATTTTGAAATCAATAAAGGAAAGAAAAGCCTGACTTTTATACCAGCTGTGTCACAGACACTATTTTTATACGCCCTCTGTTATATTCAAGGGCTGTCCATCTTTTTGTGATATCATCAGGCCAGAGTATAACTCTGTATCGTTTGTATCGATCCTGATCATACTTCACAGCAGTGCTGCTCATGATCCCAGGGTGTGTCATGACATTGATCCAAGGTCATATTTACAAGGTCAAGGTTATGGAGCACAGCATCCAAAATAGGTGTCCTTGTGATGCCTGAATCTGTATTATACTTCACAGTATTGTTGCCAGATATGTTGCAACCTAGGCCATATCTTTAAGGTCAAGGTCATGGAGTATTGACCTGTAAATCATGTGTGCTGACCATAAATCAGTATTGTTATGCTGGATCTTCGTCAATCTTTATATCATTGTTCCCCATAGCACAAAGCCTATCAGGTTTTTCTTGATATGAGGATATTTTAAATGTGTCGATACTTAGATTAAATACTGCTGGTGCAGTGGTATTATTGAAATTTTGGTGTCCTTCGTCAATGTACTAAATCTTTTGAGTTGTTGATGAGGATAGAAAGAACAGTAAAATGTTATGATCAGTTTCCCCTTATTGTTTTCCTTTGAATTTTTGGTTTGGAGAATGTCTTTCTGATTTTTCAAAGATCACAAGTGGTCACAAAAGTATACAGTGCATCAATTATGCCTGATGCTCAATTCCTTCTGCACTTGAATCTGTACTGTGAAATATTTTAAAATGAACTTAAAACATGTGAAAGGGGAGTTTAAGATAGGGAGTGAAGACCATCGATGGTAGAGCACCTATCATGATCGGTATGTAACATTTGAAAAACTATCAAAGTTTCCACTGTCATAGAAGGCATATCTTTGTAAATATGTTTGTGAGCAACTGGGTTCGAAACAACAAAGGAAATTCTGTTTTATCTTTTTGGGTGATATCTTTCTAGTTCAATATGAAATATAACAAAAATATTTTACTGAATTTGAGAGAACAAGGATGTGTTTTATGTGGTACCTTTTAAGGAGGCAGGGTAAGTCTAGTGGTAGGACGCCGGCTTGTGACCGAAGGGTGTGAGTTCGACTATCGTCACAGCACTTTGTTGTATATTTGAGCAAGATACTTTACTCCGCTTGTTCCAGTCTACTCAGCTGTAAATGAGTACGTGGTTGAGTAGCGCCAGCTGTATGCTCCCCAGGGAGTTGAGAAAGATATTGGCTGGTTGCAAAGGCCCTATAACCACGAAAAATAATTTGTGAACCACTTTGAGACGACCTACGAACTAGGTTGTGATAAAGCTGTATATAAGAACCTCAAATTATTATTATTATTATTCTGTCTGTACAACAAACTTCAATCAGAAACCAGTTTGGAATATCTTATATCATGACACTATTGCTTCTTATAATGGAATGAACCAGACAGTTTCTGATTGGAAAACACTCTCATTTAATTGTTCTTCTTGTTGTGCTTAGGTGACAAAATGTTCAGTTGGAAGGTACAGTCCTGAATGGTCCTGATGGGGTAAAGCACAGTGTTTGGTACTCAATCAAACAAATGCACTTCATTATGTTGTCCGTCATGTATTCTTGTACCATAAAAACTGTTCCTCATGGTGTGTGAAAATGTCTCAACCCACTTTTGATAGTGTTTTATCACATTTTTTTTAATCATAAGGACAAATTTGAAACTATATTCAAAACTTGATATTTAAAATCTTCTTAACTGACAATTGGAAAAATTATAGCAACACAATACTACTTATGAGATCATTGTAGCCTGTTTGTATATGATATCCAGGAGAATCTACTTTGATCTGTTGCAGGTTTTAGGTCACAAGGAGGGGTTAAATGTGATGGAGCGGGCCGACCCCTTGTTCCTCCTCATCGGCCTGCCGACCATTCCCGTCATGTTGATTCTTGGCAAGATGGTTCACTGGGAGGATTATATACTGAGGTTGTGGAGGAAACACTCTGCCAAGCTGCCATTCTTTAACTACTTGTTTTCTGATGGTAAGTAAGCCAAGCGTTGGTGCTTTTTTGACATCTAATAATTAAATAAGCCAACCGTTGGTGCTTTTTTAACATCTGATGGTAAGTAAGCCAAGTGTTGGTTCTTTTTTGACATCTAATGGGAAGTAAGCCAAGCGTTGTGCTTTTTTGACATCTGATGGCAAGTAAGCCAAGCGTTGGGGCTATTTTGACATCTAATGGGAAGTAAGCCAAGCGTTGGGGCTTTTTTGACATCTAATAATTAAATAAGCCAACCGTTGGTGCTTTTTTAACATCTGTTGGTAAGTAAGCCAATCATTGGAGCTTTTTTGACATCTAATAATTAAATAAGCCAAGCGGTGGTGCTTTTTTAACATCTGATGGTAAGTACGCCAATCATTGGTGCTTTTATGACATCTAATGGTAAGTAACCCAAGCGTTGGTGCTTTTTTGCCATCTAATGGTAAGTAAGCCGAGTGTTGGTGCTTTTTAATGGTAAGTAAGCCAAGTGTTGGTTCTTTTTTGACATCTAATAATTAAATAAGCCAACCGTTGGTGCTTTTTTAACATCTAATGGTAAGTAACCCAAGCGTTGGTGCTTTTTTGACGTCTGATGGTAAGTAAGCCAAGTGTTGGTGCTTTTTAATGGTAAGTAAGCCAAGTGTTGGTGATTTTTTGACATCTAATGGGAAGTAAGCCAAGCGTTGGGGCTTTTTTGACATCTAATGGTAAGTAAGCCAAGCTTTGGTGCTTTTTTGACATCTGATGGTAAGTAAGCCAAGCGTTGGTGCTTTTTTGACATCTGATGGTAAGTAAGCCAATCATTGGTGCTTTTTTGACATCTAATGGTAAGTAAGCCAAGCGTTGGTGCTTTTTTGACATCTAATGGTAAGTAAGCCAATCATTGGTGCTTTTTTGACATCTGATGGTAAGTAAGCCAAGCGTTGGTTCTTGTTTGACATCCATTTTCAATAGCAATATTTTTGAAATTTTGCTGAAAACATTTCTGGGAATATAGAATCTGTTCCAGTAGAAAATGCTGAACACTTAATGAGACTTCACAGATTTGTCATGCATACACTTGTTGTTGGATATATTGTGTTCACAGCCAAATCTATGGGTTAAGGTACACTCATCATAAGCTTGATATTTTCCATTTCTGATGTTGTATATTTGGAAGTTTGTTTGGTATTTTTCATTATACAATTTTCACCGCCATAAAGGAGCTGTATTTGTTAAAACAATGAGTAATTAAACAAAATCAACGTAGCAATGGAAGATTTCCTGCTGATACAATGACCAATGTACGGTAAACCTCCGGTCAGTTCGAATCGGCGGATAGTTCGAACACATATTTTTTTCAATAAAAACAATAATTTTCTAGCTAGTGATAGTTCAAACTCTGATTGACCTTATTACGGATAGTCCGAACTTGTCAAATGAAAACGTTAAGTAAGATTTTTTTTCGGCAAACTCCATTGAAAGCTCGCTGCGATCGGCCCCGGAAAAATACAAATACTTTGATCAACAGACACGTTTAGGGTAATAGGTTGTATGTGTGAGCATTGCAGTACAGCTGTGCCAGACAAACCATAAATATATGTCACAGATTTTAGCGTTGATTCATTTTTTTTACATTGTTTGGAAAATACATCGTGCACGAGACAGCCAATTTCAACTTAGGCCCCGACAATGTATAAATAACATGCGATCAGTACGAACTGATGTCATGCTGTATGGCTGTACGCTAAAAAATCGCCCGTGTGTTGTCAAATACAGTGTTTACTAAGCATTTTGATTATTTTATTGCGACCAGACATCCCTTAATTATTGCCAATCAAGGTATTACCTGTAAACGTGTGCCCTCACACCAGGTAGGGCAGGACACGATGTCGCGGTAGGAATCGGCCACCCAGCCATGGTGAGTGAAGTGATTAGCATTCATGTCAGTCCAAACAATCCACAGGTGTCCCAATTAGCGATGGGTAATTTTGAAGGTGTCAAATAAGTTTGGTAGGTATTAGGATTATATCACTTATAATTTAAAGCAGACATGTTGATGTTCTGACCTAATTTTACTAACATATAGACCTATATTTACTGTGCAGTAACGCTTTGTAAACGCAACAGGTTATGTAGACTATGTTTTCAATTTATTAAACGGACCATTCATTACGAAATAATATATACAATAGTTTCTGATTCAAATGAAACCTAACCACGCAGAGACTCAATATTTAGGTCTCTGATACAAGCTAGGTAGTCTTCACTTTTGTGTCACAAATGAAACATGTACTGTTTCGGGGCCTACACAAGGGCCTCTGCTTCGCAATAATGATCATAATTATCACGACATGAAGAAAGTTTAATGATCAATTAACATTGAGTTAAATAATATACTATCATTTTACCCATTTATCACTGTGCTATTGTTCTATGCCAGGCCGTCGTTGTTACGTATCGACCTTACATTGGATATATAGAGGTATACTCCGGTGAAGAAAATATGTCGGGTATATGCTTGTGACTTGATTTGCACTTTGCCGAATTTTTTGCCGATAGTTCGAACTCACGCTTATTTTCTGAAGCATAATTTTGTATAATCCGAACAGGTTCATCAATATTTATTTAATTTTGTTCGAACTGACTGAAGGTTTACCGTAATCTCTTAGAATGATATACTGCTTTATTGTGTTGCCTGCAACGCGAGGTGACATATAGGTATTACTTTGTCGGCCACGTCGTCCGAAACAAGGTTTCTGTGCAATAACTTGAGTTCCCTTGGGTTGATTTAACTCAAACTTAGTACACATATTGCATACCAATATAGCTTGGACAAGTTTGCATTTCAGAAGTTTTAAGTGCATTTTTGGTCGAGTTATGCCCCTTTTATTGCCAATTTAATTTATTTCATTGTGTAGTAAATGCAAGAACTTTTTTTTTTTTTTATTAATTCCTTTCCAATTTTTGTAAGGTAATGCTAGAAGCAATATTGTTTAACATATATTACAGGTTTTTCTGTCTAGTTTCAACTTTCCGCGTCTAAAAGCGCTGAGCAGGCCACACATCCACTCCCGTGTTAATGGGGAGATCAACTAAGGTTTGGGATAAGAGACCCCCATTTCAATCACAGTAGCAAATTGGTCAAAATATGACGATTGTGAAAATATTTATCTGATAAAACTTCCACAGATATGGTTCTTCAAATAGAAGGATATTTTTATTGCAAAACCAGGATATATTCGTTAAGTGTGTTATGTATGAAGTATTTTTAGCCCACCATCATCTGATGGTGGGCTATTCAAATCACCCTGCGTCCGTGGTCCATGGTCTGTCGTCCGTCCTTAAACAATTCTTGTTATCGGTATTTCTCAAGAAGTACCAGAGGGATCTTTCTCATTTTATATGTAGGTTACCCTTGGTCCTTAGCTGTGCAGGGCAACTTTTGAGACTGATCAGATAAACAACATGGCCGACAGGCAGCCATCTTGGATTTTGTGTTGAAAGTTTGTTATCGCTATTTCTCAAGAAGTACTAGAGGGATCTTTCTCAAATTTTATATGTAAGTTCCCCTTAGTCCATAGCTGTGCAGGGCAACTTTTGAGACTGATCAGATAAACAACATGGCCGACAGGCAGCCTTCTTGGATTTTGATATTGAAAGTTTGTTATCGCTATTTCTCAAGAAGTACCAGAGGGATCTTTCTCAAATTTTATATGTAGGTTCCCCTTGATCTCTCATTGTGCATGTTATATTTTGAAACTGACCATAAAAACAAAATGGATTAAAAGAAGAACTAAACAGATCTTTCTCATATTGCAATTATCGAATTCTATTTTTTCACATTAAGTACTGTATTAGTAAATATGTGAATTGACAAACTAGGTTGGCTTTCATGCACATCAGTATTAAGTTTAGATCGAAAGTTACTTCAAGGTGCATTTACTGTTAACATGACTCGATCAAACAGATTAGAGGAAAGAAGAGGAAATATCAAACTGACAAAGAACTAATGAAGATGGTACCAAGGTGGGCGCCAAGTTCCCTCTGGGATCTCTTGTTTTAAGCGTTTCTCTGCGATGAGAGTTTTTTTTCTGTATTTTGGTTATGTCTTGTTACATCTGTATGTTACTGTGTGTTTTGGAGGTTGTTTTGTGTTTTAAAAGTAGGGTCACAGAAGGGTTGATGTTGTCCTAGAAATAGTCACAGAAGGGTTGACATTGCCCTAGAAATAGCCGCAGAAGGGTTGACATTGTCCTAGAAATAGTCACAGAAGGGTTGACATTGTCCTAGATATAGTCACTGAATGGTTGACATTGTCCTAGAAATAGTTGCAGAAGGGTTGACCTTGTTCTAGAAATAGTCACAGAAGGGTTAACATTGTCCCAGAAATAGTCACTGAAGGGTTGACGTTGTCCTAGGAATAGTCACAGAAGGGTTGACATTGTCCCAGAAATAGTCACTGAAGGGTTGACATCGTCCTAGAAATAGTCGCAGAAGGGTTGACGTTGTTCTAGAAATAGTCACAGAAGGGTTGACATTGTCCCAGAAATAGTCACAGAAGGGTTAACATTGTCCCAGAAATAGTCACTGAAGGGTTGAAATCGTCCTCGAAATAGTCGCAGAAGGGTTGACATTGTCCTAGAAATAGTCACAGAAGGGTTGACATTGTCCCATAAATAGTCACAGAAGGATTGACGTTGTCCTAGATATAGTCACAGAAGGGTTGACGTTGTTCTAGAAAGAGTCACAGAAGGTTCGACATTGTCCCAGAAATAGTCACAGAAGGGTTAACGTTGTCCTAGAAATAGTCACAGAAGGGTTGACGTTGTCCCAGAAATAGTCCCAGAAGGGTTGACGTTGTCTTAGAAATAGTCCCAGAAGGTTTGACATTGTCGAAGAAATAGTCCAGAAGGGTTGACATTGTCCTAGAAATAGTATCACAAGGGTTGACATTGTCCTAGAAATAGTCACAGAAGGATTAACGTTGTCCTAGAAATAGTCACAGAAGGGTTGATGTT